AAAAAAAAAATCCAGTCCCACAAGTATTACATCTTCTCTATCCTAATAGGAAGAGAGCTCCTTTGAACTTCATCTCCCGAGGTTCCGGTACGGGAGGAGGTAGGTCATTTTCGTACTCTTGAGTGCTGGTGAGGATGAGTATTCGTGTACTCGTCCAAGCCCCCTAGAGTTCTGAAGTATGTAAAGGAATGGTAGATTCAGTGTATCAATTCTCTTCAATGGTACTAAATCAGTACCATTGAAGAGAATAAGGATGAATGCCAGGGTGAAATTAACATAAATCTTACGTAAAATGAATGTAAACATGCTGTTTGGAATGCAAACGGGAATGTCAATTTTACGTAAAATTTACGTTAATTTCATATCACCGTTTACATATCATAGAGGTGACATTTATGCAAACATGTTGACATTATCTTGACAATGGTTTACGTAAAATGATATGAAATGGACAAAAAATGTACATTCGTTTTACGTAAAATTAACATAAACCTGCTGTTTGGGTATATGGAATAATCCATAAATGAATTGGTTCTCCGGACGAACATCGATTCCTTTTGACACCTGTCTTGGAACGCCATAGATCAAAAGGTATCGTTCCTTTTCTCACACCACCGTCCTTCTCGTCTACCCGGTGCACTAACGCCACTGAATGAGGAATGGACGATAGAAGAATTAACACTGTTTTTTTCATTATTCCTGGGAACTCATTAGGCATCCAGGAATGGAAGATGATAAGTTACTCGGGTGCTACACTTTCAAAGGTTTATATTTGCTCGAGTCAAAGGAAAAGACATGGAAAGCTGAAGGAGGAGAGCGAGAGGGCACACTGTACGTTCAAGGAACCTGTACGATACTCAATACGGAATTCTAGTAGCTCATCGATCGCTCTCGTACTTGGAGTGTGAGTTCCTCGTGTAAGGGAACATCACCGTCCGAGTCTCGATGCATCGGAGGAAGTGATTAGCGTCCCGTGGAAGGAGAGGACAGGCGATTGTAGATCGACTCCAGCCGGTCGCAAAAGGGAAAAAATTTCGACTGGCTCTCGGGGAGATTTTCGCTCCTTGTCTGATTTTCCCAGTCCATCGCTTCAGGAAGTAGGGAATCGTTTGACTGCAACGTGGGAAGGACTGTGATCGTCACTCACAGTAGAAAGGAGCGCATACATGCGCCTTCGCTTGCATCATAGAAACGAAGACTTGTGAAATTCCTGAGAAAGTGTTCTCGACCTCACAATTTAAGGTCCCTCCTTGACGACTACCGGAACTTTGTACTACATCAAAGTCAAAGGTTTTAGTTATACTCAATTTTTGCTTGTCTATCTTTCATACAAAATTCCAACAGCGATAATAATAATTAATAAATTTATAACTCAAAAAGGCTCATAATTCCCCTTCCAAATAATGGATTCCAGCAGTCTACAAAATACGCCACTTGCTTTTCCACATCGCAATGGGACTCGAAGGACTAAATGCGGCAGGGTAAAATCGGTAACAGGGTGAAGCGAGGTGGGGGGCGAATCTGATCCAGGCCGGTTACTGGGCAACAGGAAGCGTTCGAGCTATATTGATTGGGTGGGAAAATCATGGGTCAACATCCATTGAGTTTCCTTCAGAACGACCTAAGAAAAAAAATTAAAATCAATGTTGCCAGGCCACCAACGTGGGCTTTGACGTCGGCGCCATTCATCTGAAGGTTCTCCCGTCGCTCGCTTCCACCAGAGCCATTCCCATCATTCCGGGCGGCCGAGCCAATGGAATGGGAATGTTTATTTCTGCACTCTCCAAAGTTAACCCTTGTAACATTTTTTTTTTTTTTTTTTTTTTACTGTTATGGGTAGAGGAATCGACAAGATGATCCTAGACCGTACTTGTTCACCGTCCTGCCAACTCAGTGCGAGCAATATGCTGTTCGATTCTCTCGTACTTTCATGCTGACTCCATGTGTCTTGATGGAATGGAATTCCGAAAGAAACGATTCTACCTCTTTATTTTTTGCAACCAGTCCCTCCGGAGTGTAAGCTGACTCAACAGGGCGGCGAATACATGGGAAGAAAGAATATGCCGATCCGAGGCGATCCATGTCTCCCTTGGAGAGAAGTAAAAATCACTGCATACCTCATTTACGCATTCCCGGATCCAGATGACATCGACGCGCATCACAACTTCTGTCGAAATCCGAGTACGAAAAAGATCGGCAGCCAATTATTGATGAATGTGAACATTGCTCCTTGGTGCTTCTACAAGGGTATTGGGGGCATTGTTACGTGGGCATTTTGCGACATCCCATTCTGCAATGGACAAGATGAAAAAAAAAGAGTCTGAACGGGCGTGTATCCAGAATGTCGACTATCTGAAAAAGGGAGAGAATATGTCGGGAGCCAGAACGAGACCGAAACAGGAATGGCTTGCCTACCGTGGGATTCAAATCCATACGGCGTTCCTTGGGATTTCTTCCCAAGAGAGAAACATCCTTCTGTCGCGATGTTCTTGAATTCCATGACTTCCATGGCGGGGTTTCAAGCCGGTCACAATCACTGCCGAAACCCCGGGCTGTACAGGGAGCGACCATGGTGCTTCGTCGCCGACGCTGACAGGAAGTGGGAGTACTGCGACATCCCCCTCTGCCAAGACCTCAGTTCGTCCGTTCTGCAGTCTCTCTCTCTCTCACAGATCGGCGTGTATGTGATTGTGTCGGGTGTTTATTACTTGTAGGAGACGGGAGGAAATATGGCTGAACCTTCGCGAAGATTATGGAAAATATTAGACTCTAAGCAACTGAGACTAGGATTTTTTGTGAATGAGAGTGTTGTATGTCCAATATTAATAATTGATTTAAAATTAATCAGACAATTTTAATCGGTTTCACGATCCGTAAGAAAATTTTTGAAGTGGTATAGTAGCTCATGGGACAGCATGAATTACCTTGAGAAACAAAAACAATGTCATCACCCCAAGCCCAGTGATGCACTGAAGATCAAACGGGACACGTAAAAACTCCCTCAGGTTCCACAGGCTAATGTGCATTGGACGCGCCCGCCATGGTCTCACAAGAACCTGCATATTACTGTCGCTATGGGAGATTTTTCGAAGGAACTCATCGTTTCTCAGCTTAAACCTTTTCGTTTCATAGATCCGCCAGAATGCAAACGGACCGGCCGTGGAACAGAGTACGTTGGAAAGGTGAACGTTACGATGAATGGGATTCAATGTCTACCTTGGCTCATGGGCATGATCGAGGATAATGATATCATACTTTACGATGAAGTGGATGGAGGGCACGCGTTCTGTCGCAACTATTTCTCCTTCCCATTTGGTCCGGCATGTTTTGCCACGCTTGGAGGGGATCTGAGTCCGTGCGACGTTCCATTCTGTCCCACCGTCGACGGCGGAAAATGCGACATTCGAGTTCGTGGGGATTGTGTCCGTGAGTTACAAACCCTTCCTGAGAAACTTCATTGTGATACTCATTCTTATGATTTTGTGACATCCCGCATAAGGTTATGTTTCGCGAACTAAGATGTACATACACTTGTTTTTCTTTTTTCACAGCCCCAATAGAATGCAAGACAGACGCGGTGGGGCGGTCATACATGGGCACGAAAAATGTGACCAGAATGGGAGACAAGTGCTCACCGTGGCTGTCTGGATTGTCCCAATTGCTGGCTGAAGTGGTTGCCGACTATTTGGAAGATATTCAAGGTGGCATTAAGCTTTCTGATGTTTTGAACCGAATCTTCACGTTGGACGGCTTGTACCCAACTCACAACTTCTGTCGGAACTGGAACAACGACGAGGGAGGTCCCTGGTGTTACAAAAGCGCTGCGATGGAACGGGATTATTGCGACATCCCGATCTGTTCCTCAAACGACCCATGAAAGAATGAACACCAATTTTAACCTGCTCGTCTTAAACATTCCTGCGTTATTGCGTGCTCATGTTTCTTTCTGTTCCAAGCAGGTTTTTCTTACGATCTGCCTCGATTTCCCGTCTCGGTGAAGCTCAGCCTTCATTGACGCACGACAAATATTCTACACGACCAACGAAAACCCAATCTCAGTCCAACCCTTCACGCGTAACTATGCCATGAAGGATAGGGAATTTTTATTATTATTATTCATTTCATAGCTGATAGCTGTGTGAATATCCCATTGGAGTTCATTGTGTTGTGGTTTGGGATTGTAATGCCTTCATTCGCTTTCTCGGGTTTGGGGAAATGTAGTCATTAGTACGGGGGTTCTCGATCGTCGTTTTCGATTTTGCCACACGTGGTTTCAAGCAAATGACGCTTAATTTTCAATGGAGAGTTTGGAGTCCGTGTCATATCCATGCGTTTAGAGGAACCCTGACCATGTGCATTCAATATGCCCGTCTTTTTTCTGTTTCAACCTGCCACCCTTTGTGAAGTTCTTTTGAGACGTTGGAGTTCCCTATGATTACACTTCATTCATCAGCAAGACTTCCCAATTCGGAAATCAATTGCAAATGCTGGCGCGTGGATACCAGGCTAAGTATTATTAAAATACCCCGATAGGATTATAGTTATGTAATGCGGTATCACAGGGGGTGAAATAAATATGCATGGTATTTCTGAGTTCGCATTACGAGGACGATCCAAAAGTTATTGCCTTGAGGTAGTAGGAATGATCAGAAAAGGTTTAAAATTGGTTCCCCTATTATTTCATTCTTTCGATTGGTGTTGTTGATTGGGGGTCTAATGGATTCATTAGCTTTCATGAGGGTGTGGAACTGAAGTAATCAAGTTTTTTCTCTCCCATCCCAGTATTTTTTTCATTGTATGCATATTCTTTCCCAAAAAAATGTTGGACCCCTTTTCAATTTGTAGCTTCTCGTTATTTTCAGGAAGTGTGTTTTCACTGGGTGCGACAGGAATTCCCAGAGAATTTCATTCACGCATAATGGTGAGTTTCAAGACTGCTACAGTATGTATGAGGGGCTATAGAGCCACAACTGGAACGTTTTATCAGCTGTTTACGTTGTTCATATTGCGCTCTTTGACTCCATACTTAATTACTTCTGTACTCATATTATTTAACGGTTTTGGGCAGTGCTCAATTTTTTATTTGGAAATACGATTTAAAAATTTTTTAAAGTTTGTATTGAAGCAACATTGAAACGGAAAGAGACTTCGTTGCATGCATATCTCCTTCTATCACATTCATTTCCAAAACCCTTGTTCGGATTCAAAATCCAAATTCAAATGTTATTTTTGCGATTTCTCTTGTATTCATGTAAAATAATTTTTAAACTCCAGGAGAAAGAAAGCGCATCTCCCTTTTGAAATAAAACATCGCAGTATTCATGGGAACATCGCGCGGAACTGGAACACGAGAAGCGTCTCCTTCTGCTCCTTGTCCGAGGAAAATATCAGCAAAATTCTCGGTTGGGGTTGGTGCGACTGGGCGTACCAAGCGCGTAAACGTCGACCGAATCGGCACATACGTCGGGGCGCGATGGGGTCGGAGGGGGGGGCAGGGACTTGTTTTGTTGTGTGTTCAAACAGATCTGACGCATGTGGCTTTTTCCTTACGGGGTTGTTGGATTGACTGCAATCGCTGAGAATTTTCATCGCGAAGGCGGGCCTCGTTTCATGTTAATAAATAATTAAAATAATTCTCACTTAGAATCACATGGATTGTCATACATCCATTTGGAAACTCATGGGAGTTACCTAACCTAACCTAACGAATAGGATTCATCTTCATCGCGATAGTAGGCGCGGTATTTCCCCCCAACAATCCTAATAGCTGTTGTCAAACAACTCCTTTGGCACCACCCATCGGGCAAAACGGGTGCTCCTCCAGATGTTGTTTCAAAATATATTTATTCATAATGCACACCTATTTAAATAGGAAACAGAATAGAAACATCAATGAAATATCTACAAATAGGAAATTATTATCCCCATGGTTTCCAGTGTCTTCATTGTATGCCTATTGACAAAGTTCACAGAACAGAGACCACAACGAAACATCCGCAAATTCCAAGCTTTCTCTCGTTTCCCCAGGTCTTCATTCTTACTAACAAAGTTCAAAGAACGGAAAGAGCAAGGAAACATCTACAATTAAACCTTTTTTTCTCATATTTTACCATATTTTCATTACATGCCTAATTACTAAGGCAACAGAACGGAACCAACAATGAAACTTTTAAGGCAAAATAATCGTTGCTGTTTCAAATTGTTATCCATGTATTCATCATAGATGCACATTTACAGATGTCGCAGAAAAACACATCCATATCCATGTTTTGAGTGAGAGAAAGAATCTGAACAGTAACACATTGCGTCGGCCTGAGCCTCACAATTATAATGGATGTTCCAGCCAGACAAGAGTAGATATATAGAGCCGCTATACCGTCACATTACCGGCAAAATGTGTTTAGGAAATCCTGAATATTGGCTCCCTGCCAAAATGCGTTCTTCAGAACCCTAGCTTAACTGAGAGAAAATATTAGAAAGTTGGATTTTAGAGAGAAGTGGAAGAAATTAAAGCCAAAGGAGAATGGTTTGCATGTGAGCTTATTGGTCATTCCACGATGTTTCGTCCAAGTAAACTCATTATTTCGAGCCCAAGTCAATGCGTTCATGCAGTACAACAGACAAACCACTTCTCAAAGCGAGCATGCCATCATATATGCATTCTAGTCGTGGGGTGGAGAAGAGTCCCATGCACATAGACAACTTTTCCTTTCCACAAAGGAGCAACCAGTTTGGAAAGGAAAAGTGGTGTAACATAACAACTTTCCCTATCCGAATCCCGAAAAATGATTTTTTTTACAGATGGACAGTTTGCCTTTCAACCCTTCAATTATACTTTCACTGTACACAATGGGATCACAAGACGCCCTATAATGTCACTTAAACTTTCAATTGAGATGAAAAATCCAATGAAAAATTACAAATGCTGTGGCTTTTCCTAACGTATGTTAGTTAACCCATTTGAATTTTTTCCCCAGGAGTTATTTCGACTCTAAGCCCATCGATAGAGTGCGTTTGAGTGCGATATACGACTTTTTTTTTTACAATGATCCCATGAAAAGAAATCCAGAGTAGTTGAATGAGGTCTCACATGCCACACGTACGCCACTCGACGTCCGATCGATATGCTTCGGGTACGTATCATCTACCGTAGGTTCTCACACACTGCTTTCGCATGATGTTCAAAATAATTCACAATAGTGTTCCATCTTGCCGGTACATCACATTGTCTTCTGTCATTAGAACTTCGCCATTGTCGCTCAATTTTGTTTAAATTACCTTACGGAAAAATCCTACACGATCATGTCAAATTAGCAGAGCCATTTACCATACCCTCTCCAATTTCCGTGAAATTCCTGGAGCTTGTAGGGGCTATTGAGAAATCACTCCATGCCTAATTGCAGCTCTCTGCCTCAATTGCTTCCAGAGATGTAGCAATTTGAAAGCAACAAAAAGGGACAAATTTTGGGGCAAGTCGTCCTCACTTAAGTGCTCATAGGTTTTCTTGTAATCAACGGAGTAATTTGATTTTGGTGTCATTTTTTCATGTGACAGCAGTAATGATCAAAATTTAACAGTAAATGAAATCATTACCCAATTGAAGAAAAATTCCGAACGTCCACAGAGAAAAGTCAGAAGGTACAATTTCTGTATTTAAGCGAAGTTTGAGCATTTGGAAAATCCAACACTGGTTTGGCACATCCTGACATCTTGAAGGATTAATTTGTTTCTCTTCCACGAAAAACCGCTTACTTCTATGATGAATGTGCTTCGCGCTACGCAAATCGGAGAAGTTGCCTCATGCTGTGCCATCACGAAACAGACCTCAAATCACTAGTACAGTCGCACTCGGAAAAGTAGCGTTTGACGGAGTTGGAGGGGCCGTAAAGCAGATGGCTGCAGGAGCCAGTCTCCAACGGCCTTACAACTGAAAGGTGGTGACCCCTCACCAACCCCTTCCAATGGGCAACTCAGAATATCCCAATCAGTTTCTCATTGTGATCTAAGTATTGCAGCTCAAGGAGAGAGGCGAAGTACCAAGACGAAAGTTTTGTGCAAAGTTGCTTCCAAAGCTTATTCCTTCTTATCTTTTTCGAAAGAAGAGGAAATCACTGTCCTGCGAGATGATCTTGCGACTGGAAACCTTCAGTCATGAATAACGGGGTGTCCTTCAAATTGGTCCAGTTTTAGTTTGACTTACACTTTCTTTTAACGAACTGCTGGGGGTTAACTGTCGCTGTATTTTTACATTTAGGCAATTATATGGCGATTTTCATAAGATGGGACAATCCAATTGGAAGGAATATCGTTCTGCTAACATTTGCTTATTCTGGTTCGAAATGCATGTCCCGTATTCCGATTCAATATCAACATGAACGTTGACAATGGACTTGAACAATTATATGCATGTGAATTTCTTTTACTTCACGAAAAGGCTCATAACTCCTTTTCAAATGATGGATTCCAGTAGTCTGCAAAACACGCCACTTCGTTTTCCGCATCGCAGTTGGACTCGGAGGTCTACATGGGGCAGTGTTAAATCGTTTGCGGGAAGAACCGAGGCGTGGGGCGAATCTAATCCAGGCCGGTTACTGGGCAACAGGTAGCGTTCGATTTCGATTTGGGGGGGGGGGAATCATGAATCAACATCCATTGAGTTTCTTTCAGAACAACCTATGAAAAAATTATGAAAAAAAATCAATGTTACTAGGCCACCAAGGTGGGCTTTGACGTCAATGCATTGCATCTGAAGGTTCCACCGTCGACCCGCGCGCTTCCACGAGTGCCATTCCTATCGTTCCGAAAAGCCAAGTCATTGGAATGGGACTTCAAAGAACTCGGGAAGACCGACTCGCGGTCGTCCTTGCGTTCCTGCTCTTATCGCGACACGTCGCCTCCCTGGACTTGATCCGATTTCTCAGACGGCCTCGAGGGCAGGGATACGTGAATGTGACTTCAGAATCTCAGGAGATATCCCTCGGGGTTTGCGCCATTAATTGCGTGAAGCAGGAACCGTTTCCCTGCTACGCCTTCAGCTATCAGGAAACCGATCTCTCGTGCCAGTTGATTGCTAACAGAAGTAGCAAGCTCGTGCAGAAGGATGGATACTGGTCCTACGCGCAGCGTGAGTCCGAAATTTCGCTATTTCATCTGGACAGACTCGGAAACATTATCGTTACCCTTTATTCCATAATGCAGGGTTGTGTGCGGATAAGTATCCTCGGATCGAAAACGCGAAGGTGTCCTTCGAGGGCTGGAACGGAGACCACCCAGCGCCAGAGGGGGGGATCGTCAAGTTCCTCTGCGAACATCCTAAAGGGTTCTCGGATGGAGCTGTTCTTCACACTGCTGAGTGCGTCCACCGGACCCCAAATTCTTGGAACATCTCTTTCCCGAAAAGTGTAGGATGTGAGGGGATGACATCTAATACTTCATCGTCGCATTTTACAAAGCTCTGCATGTCATTTCCCAATATTCTCCTCGCCACTTTTAGAAAAGCGAATAGGACAGCGTATACACGTAAACCTGGTTACTATTTCTCAAACAAGTCCTCTTATCTCATTTGTGGGTTTCAAGTATAGGATCTTCGTCTCTGAGGTAGGTAAATGATGAATCGAAATGAAAATCGGAAAAAAGTAATTTCGTTATCTCGGGGACGAAAAAGAAAGCATGGCTTCAAAGGTTACTTCATATCCAATTTTTTATTATTTTAAATTCGAATGATTTTTCATTGGAATGACGTCCTTGAAAGAGATATCGGTCATCGCTAATCATTACCTATCTATGATATGAAAAATATCCGTCATTTATTTCGATTTATAATTCAGAAAAGTATTTCAATGTTTGTTTCGAACAATGCCTTGAATTTCAAATCGTGTACTCTAGGATAAGATTGCATCCAAATAAATATTTCCTGGTTGTGGAAACTAAACATACGTGGGATCCAAAGTAATATTATTTGTCCATATCGCTGTGTATGAAACACCTACGTGAAGAAAGGAACTGAGGCAATTCCCTTCTATATTGGTTGGAATCAACTGTGGCCCGAGTCAAGGCCCCAGGATCCGCAATCCGCAACATGCAATACGGCGAGGACTGGCGGGAGGAGGCGCTTTACCACAGGCTTGCCGCCTAGGGTAGTGGATCATCAGGAATGAGTGCAGTTGTTACTTCGCGAGTTTATCCGATGAATGGCATTTTCTCACACACTGATTGCCGCGTCCCTTTTAGGCTGATGGAACTACGGTGTAACAGAAAAAATTATCATCGAATTTAGCCAAAGGCAAACAGATGATGATCATCAAGGGATAAAATATGACTAAAAGGGTGTTTATTAAGTAGGATACACAAACAATAACTTGAAAGAGGAATGTGTTCGGGATGAGAAGCTTAAAAAAATGTTCATCTTTCAAAAAGTCAATTACTCATGCAATCATTCACATCCTCTAGTTCTTACTCGATCTCTCATTGGATTTGATTCTTGACAGGTGAGAAAGTGCATATATATCCAGAATGTCGTCTGACTGAAAAGGGCATGGAATACGTTGGAAAAGTGAGTGTGACGGAATGGGGACGGAAATGTCTCAACTGGAGGGACTATCCCGGTGGAACAGCGGAAGAATACCCGTTCGGCCCACATCTTGACTTCTCGACTTCTGACCCCTCTGGAACGCAGATCATCAACCTAGGACAGGAGGCCTGGTTCGTCAATCGGGACTCCTGGTCTCACCACAACTACTGCCGGAATCGATGGTCGCTGGAAAGACCATGGTGTTTCGTTTCCGGCACTAGCATCGAAACGGAATACTGCGACATCCCAATGTGCACTTATGCAGGTAAAATTGCGTACAACTTTTTCGTGCATTCTCAGAGAAGGTAATTTGTAGAGTGACGTGTTTCTTCGCATGTGGAATGAGGGTAGAAGGGAAGGACAAAATGATCTCAAGATAAAATTCAACTTCTCCTAAACAACAAGAGATGAAAATCTAGTTAAGAGTTCATTTTAAATAAAAAAATTTAGGCAGATCATAACTTATTCTCGGTTGACTTCGTGATACAATCAAGAAAATATGAAATTTTTTGGTTATTGGGACATTTTCCTAAAGAAAACGGAAAATGAATGCCCTTTAGATCATCAAGGAAAGGTTTTTTAAGGGAAATTCCTGCATTGCGATTGGCATTGGAGAGAGGAGGTTCGTCGAAAATCCCTCTTGATACATCCAATCAAACGGCGTGCACTTCACAAATAGACAAAAGTATGCCAGACGCACATCATAGCGGCTGGAAATGACGCCACTAAATTGGACAATTTGCTTCCTTTCGATCCCGCGCATTCTTTGCTTCTTTCATTCTTTCGAACTCCTGCAGTACGGCAGAAATTACTCGCTCTCATGTGATTGGTGTCATTATTAGCGAATACATAGTTCCTTCCCTCTACGAGGAAATTAAGGAATGATTGACGTTATCCTCTTTGGCGCTAATATTTATTTCTGGCCTTTCCAAAGTTAACCCTAGTAACATGTATTCTTTCGGCTAAGGGTATCGGGATTAACAAAGTGATTCTGGACCTAATCCTCCGTCGTACCAACTCAATGGGAGGAATATACTGTTCAATTCGCATTTCCAACAAATTTGGGGTTTCTGCATGTCGCTTCAGCTTCACGGCTTTCCGAGGTTTCTCTCGTCCATTCATGCAGATTCGATATGTCTTGATGGTTTGAAATTCCGAATGAAACAACTCTACCTCCTTACTTTTTTTGGCCACAGTCCCCCCGGAGTGCAAGGTGACTCAACAAGGTGGCGAATACATGGGAAAAAAGAATGTGACGATCAGAGGCGATCCTTGTATCCCTTGGAGAACATTAAAAGTCTATAAATTCATTCTTTCCGCATTCCCGGATCCAGATGACGTCGATGAGCATCACAACTTCTGCCGAAATCCGAGTACGAATAAGACCGGCACCCCATTCTTCATGAACGTGAACATTGCTCCCTGGTGCCTCTACATAGGGGAAGGGGGCTTTATATCATGGGAATTTTGCGACATCCCATTCTGCAAAGGACAAGATAAAGAAAAAAGAGTCGGAACGGGCGTTTATCCAGAATGTCGACTATCTGAAAAAGGGAGAGAATATGTCGGGAGCCAAAACGAGACCAAAACAGGAATGGCTTGCCTACCGTGGGATTCAAATCCATACGGCGTTCCTTGGGATTTCTTCCCAAGACAGAAATATCCTTCCGTCACGATGTTCTTGAATTCCATGACTTCCAAGCCAGAGCTTGAAGTCGGTCACAATCACTGCCGAAACCCCGGTCTGTACCGGGAGCAACCATGGTGCTTCGTCGCCGAAATGCGCAGCAAGTGGGAGTACTGCGACATCCCTCTCTGCCAAGACCTCAGTTCGTTCATTCTCGTGTCTCCTTCTTGTGCAACTTGTGCGTCTGTTATTTAGTGTCCGCTATTTACTTTTTTAAAGGAAAGTAGAGGACATTTATGGAAAACTAGACCTTTGCGAAAGATTAAAGAAAACGTTATATTCAAAGGAACTGAGACCGCCGTGTTTAGTGAATGGGAGTGTTGGATCTACAATATTAATTAGAGATTAATTGATCAGATAATATTAATGGATTTCATGATCTGTAACCAATCGTTTGATATGATTTTGTGACTTTTGGAACGACTTGAATTACATTGAGAAACAAACAGCGTCATCTCTCCTAACCCCTGGATGAACTGAATATCAGACTTGGCACGAAAAAGCTCCCTCAGGATACACAGGTTAATGGCCACAGGACGCGCCTGGCAAAGTCTCACACACACCTATGAGGCACTGTTGCAATGGGAGATTTTTCATATCAACTCATCATGTCTTCTCTTAACCCTTTCCGTTTCACAGACCCGCCAGAATGCAAGCTGACCGGGCGCGGAATGGAGTACGTGGGGAAGCTGAACGTTGGGATAGATGGACTTCCATGTCTGCCTTGGCTCCTGTTCCTGAGAGATGATCAAAAGATCTATCTTTACGATGAAGTGGATGGAGGGCACGCGTTCTGTCGCAACTATTTCTCCTTCCCATTTGGTCCGGCATGTTTTGCCACGCTTGAAGGGGATCTGAGTCCGTGCGACGTTCCATTCTGTCCCACCGTCGACGGCGGAAATTGCGACATTCGGGTTGGAGGAGATTGTGTCCGTGAGTAACAAACCCTTCCTGAGAAACTTCAGTGTGATACTCATGATTTTGTGATATCCCGCGTATGTTTCCGATTCGCGAACTGAACAACATACACATGTTTTTATTTTCATTTATTTTTTACAGCCCTAATAGAATGCAAGACAGACGAGTTGGGGCTGTCATACATGGGCACGAAAAATGTGACCAGAAACGGACACAACTGCTTACCATGGCTGTCTGGACTGTCGCAATTGGTTGAGCACGTACAAGCCAACTATTCGGAAGACATTCGCGGTGGCATTAAGCTTTCCGATTTTTTCAACGAGATCCTCACGTTGGACGACTTGTACCCAACTCACAACTTCTGTCGGAACTGGAACAACGACGAGGGAGGTCCGTGGTGTTACAGGAACGATGAGATGGGACTGGATTATTGCGACATCCCGATCTGTTCCTCAAACGACCCATGAAAGAATGAACACCAGTTTGAATCTGCTCGTGTTAAACATTCCTGCGTTATTGTGTGCTCATATTTCTTTCTATTCCGCCTCGATTTCCCGTCTTGGTGAAGCTCAGCCTTCATAGACATCTGACAAATAGTCCACCTGACCTACGCAAACCCGAACTCAGTCCAGGCCTTCACACGTAACTTGCCATGAACTATGCGGAACGTTTTTATTAATTTCATTGCTGATAGCTATGTGAATATCCCATTGTTGTTCGTTGTATTGTGATTTGAGAGTGTAGTGCCTTCATTCCCTTTCTCGGGGTTGGGGAAATCTATTATTCCCGTTTTTCTCCATAACGGATTCGGTAATGCGAATAATGCCAATATATACGGACTACATCTAACTAACAACTACATCTAATGAGAAAACCAAAAGTGGTTGCATCAACTCCAAAACTGCATTTTTTTAAATCAGTGCATTCATCAATAAAATGCTTTTTCACTGGGTGCGACTGGAATTTCCACACACTTTCTTTCAAACTTCATGTTGAGTTTCAAGGCGTCTATATATGTGGGGCAGAGAGCTATAACTTGAATTCTTCATTCTCCATTGTCATTCAAATTGCGCTCTTTGACTCTATACATGATTATATCGAATAATAAAGGTCCCATCTCGCTTTTGAAATAATGTATTACAGTAGTAGGGCCAAAGCGGAACTGGAACGCAATGAGGAGCGCCCCTACTAATATGAGTCCAAAAACGCCACCAGCAGATTTAATGCTGGGGTTGGTGCTACTTTGCGTACCAAACGCGAAAACGTCGACCAAGTCGGATATCACGACAACGCTCGACACGGTCGGAAAGGTCGGGGTCTTGTTCGCCTCTCAGAGTTTAGAGTGTGGAGTCTGTAGCTTCTACATGTTTGTTCCAGAGAGCCAGAGCCGCATCCGCATTCTTGACCAGTGTTGATCTGCGTGTGCCAAGCCTTGGATTTTGAGAAAAGTTAGCTCACTGGCACATACCTCAGTCCGAGAGCAGTTTCGCCAAAAAGAAACTTGCTAAAATATTGTTTGGCTTCACGCTTCCAAAGAAGTTGTCCACACGGCTGCAACGACTGCTAACCTGACTCTTTTCAGAATTAGATATCACCGCTTTCAATGTCTAAACACTTCATTTCCAACTCTTAAAACGAGGCACTTGCAGAAAAAATGAACATAAAGGGCTGTTCATTCTTCTGGCGGCTTGTATCTGGGCAAAGGTTTTCATTAGCTACTTCCAATAACTACTAATTTTAAGCAAATTTTCAGTCTTGGTATTCACCATTGATTTTTCCACAGTTCCTAGGGAATAAAAGCTCAAGAAAGCCTTTTAAAACCGATAACCAACCAAAAAGAATGAATGTAAGTTGAAAAAGTGTTCCTTGCGATCAATAAGGTCTAGAGGAAATTCAGTTTAGAATTCTTATCAAATTAGCTGACGTCGGTCCATCGCCTCCAACTGCTCATTTTCCAACGTGTGAGCAACTTCTCAAAAAAATTTTCGAGTCCGAGAGCCAGAGTTACATGCGGATTCTCGTCCTATGATGCTGATCACTATGGTCCAGTTTTGATTTCCACACGGGAGGAGATCGATGCGCAGACGATTCCTCCATCTCGTCCTCCTCCTCTTCGTCATCCTCCTCCTCCTCCTCTTAAAGTTAAAGTACTTCATTTCTTATTTCAAAGACTCTCAAACCGTGGTGTGTGCAGAAGAATGAACAGAGACTGCTGCAGGTAAAAGTACTTTTTATTCAAGAAATATTTGTTACAACAAACTTGATACAGGCATATTCAGAACACGTCCCCGTTCAAAGACTCTCAAACCGTGGTGTGTGCAGAAGAATGAACAGAGACTGCTGCAGGTGAAAGTACTTTTTATTCAAGAAATATTTGTTACAACAAACTTGATACAGGCATATTCAGAACACGTCCCCGGTGTCATCTTTCCGAGTGTGTATGTGTATGTACAGCAGAGAGAGAGAGAGAGAAACCCACCACCAGCCTCATCACTCCAATCCTACATGTCGTCATTAAGTACTTCATTTGAGGAAAGACCGACATTCAATTTCTTTCCACCGTCCAACTCCATTTTCATCCAAATATTCCATAGTGATCAGATTAAATATTCTCATTTTTTCGTACCTGGATATTTTTACACAAATGATTTCTTCAATTCTCTGAATTATTTTGATACGTTCAAGAACCTTGCAAACTGGCCCCCCGTCACCCCTTTCTTCTCTCGCAACGTGTTTAAACATCTTTCTGGTGCACTTCCCTCATATGGTCCTGGTACCTGCACGAAAACAACAAAGACGTTGAGAAGATTCAGTCTGAAGCTCCAAGATTGAACACAAATAATTAAATGAAAAAACTGCGCAACAGACCGTTTGGCACACTCGAATGCAGCCTTGTCGTGGCAATCCTGGGTGTACGCCAGCTTGTAGCACACGACGAAGACGAGCGCGTGCAGAGCGAACATGTAGACGCAGGCCAGCGTCCGGGCCATCCTGTTCCCCATCACCATCCGACCCTAGGTCGCATGAAATATATTTTTAAAATATGCAACGACGCAGCCAGCAGACGGGCATCGAAGGATTAATTGCTATAACACTCTAAAACCAGAACATCACAGGTTCGGGTTGGAGTGTAGAAGAGAATACTTGCCATGGAGAGAGTGAGTTTCTCGAAGGGAGAGAGGGTGGCATATCGTCGCTGATGCTCCCGACCACGGAAGGACGAGAAGGGGTCCAGACGGGCCTCGTACTGGCTCGAGTAGCGCGACTCCGCTCCGATCGGATCTGCTCGCCCCTCCTACGACATACAATATCCCGTGCAACATACAAATCGTGACTAAGTTGCAAAACACCTTCATCTCCCAAATATGAGGTAGTTTGAATACTTTTCTGTCCTTCGCAAAACTTTCGCATTAACGAAAAGGACTTGCACAGGTTTGGATAGCTTTCTTCTATCCTAAAGGAACGGTGCATTCGATATGTTCTGTAATGTGAATTTGGACAGCAATTTCTCTCTTCCGCACAAGACAATAAACAGAAACTCTGTTGTAATCATCGACTGACTTCCTTCTTTCAATTTTTACATCATTTGTAAGAGAATATAACCGATCTTCAAATAGACAAACACATGCGTGTGATTTCTATCTAGTATAACCACCCCAGATACAGTTTTCTACCACTTCAACTCTCAGAGCTTGAGGAATTTCCAACCGGCTGATAGCTGTGGAGGAAGCGGATCTTCTGGTAGAGCTGGAGGTTGTCTTCCCTCAGGATGTTGATCTCGTCTTGGAGGGCGCTCAGCTGATGACGGTGCTGCTCGGCCTGGGATTCCAACTCCTCGTTCCTCTTCCTGAAACAATTGCTACGTCAGTGCCTGATTGGGGTGAGCAATGATGCCGCTAAAGGGCTCAAGAACCGGTATTGCTCTCACACGAGACACCTGAGTAGGAATCCCCTTGGCATTATTATTACAGTTGAAGAAAATTCGCTCTCTCCAACGGGAGGATAGCAGAAGGATACTTGGGAAATCAATCACATATAAATGAATTTGAAATAATATGGAACTTCAAGCATTGGGAAATTTCAAGGTGTAATCCGATGAATGAGGTTGGTTGCCTCAAAGTAATTCCATTAAAATTTTCTACCGAACATAACAAGCTTAGAGGTTAGGATGAGAAAGAACAGAGCGTACTTGAAGCGCTCCCTCTGGGCGGAGACGATGGGGAGTAGGGTCTCTGCCGCAGAAGACTCCGACTTGTAGGAGTCCATGTGGACGCTGGTCGTGTAGATGTCCCGAACGGCCTCCGCCACCACCGCAGACGTCGCCTCCTCACCCTGCGACCCGGAAAACGTACTCTCAACACGGGAAAATTCGTCGAAATCAAAGAGGAATCCTACTCCTTTCCTAACCAGGACATGCATCTCCACAAATCTGCAGAGGAATGCAGCTATGCACTTGCAACTTTTTCAACTTCTTCGCGCATTTGTTTAAGAAATAGGTGTCAATCGGAAAAGAAACGAGACAAATTCGACTTCTCTCATTAATGCCAATCACCGATTCTGAGAAAATCTTTCCAGCCAAATGATGTCGATGAAAAATTATTCTTATTTGGACAGGGTACAGAGCCAATTACAGTCTAGAGAAGTCTATTTTTCCAACAAAAAAAAAGAAACAAAGAAATGGATACACCAATGGCACTTTAAAAAAATTTTTTAATTAGGCAATATTATAGTTTACAGATTAAATAAATAAATGAATTCTTCTGGCAAATAACATTAAAAGTGACTCGTTTTCTCAAGTCCTTGCCATGGTCTTTGCTGAGAGTGGTAAATTAATTTGGCATGATTATGCATGTTCCGAGTGCGCGGGAAACCTTTCGCTTATGTATGAAACTCATCTCACAGTAGTTATGGCTTCAATTATTCTTCTTTCATGTAGATGGCTTTCTTTTTTAGCAAAAATCCCAAGCGTGCCTTGGAATTATTTCCAAAATCTTGTGCAGATGTTTCTGACTTTTGCAGACTTTGGGGTTCCTTTTCAGAAATTTACCTACGATGGAGTAGTGCCAATTTCCCTACATTTCTAAGAAACCTGCATGATTTTCAGTTAAATTTTTTTCTATTTTGGCTGCTGCAAGACAGTATCTAGGATTCTCCAAAGAGTGTAATGTTCATACAAATCAGACTCCGAAATGCACTGAACAAAGAAGTAAAAGCACGCAAACCAATGAAAAAAGAAGGTTCAACGAACTTTAAATACATGAAAAGTAGTTGTTGCACTTTCATACGACTCAAGAATGAGACGCGAGAGAGAAGGAATGGGGATGCGAGTTGAAAAAACCTTGAGCAACAACACATAAGTCATACTAGAGAATTCCTCAACCCAAGCATTTTCAAAGCGAAGAAATTTTATTTGGTGGATCGGGAAAATCGAGGCATGAATACCACCAAAGAGGAAAATAAAAATTGTTTCATATCTGAGGAATTGCATCACGCAAGATCTGTCTAGCAAATAGGAGACCCTATTGAAAAGGTTAGGACTAGTTTCCATACATAGATAACGGCAGAAAAAAATATATTGAAATGTGTGGCTCCTTCACATGCATTCAATTGTACCTGTAGTGCTATCACAGCAAAAATGCCAGAATCCTGAGTTTGCTTCCTCTCAATGATTTCAATGTCAAATCACTAAGTAGCAAATGTTTTGCTTTTATTTCTCTCTCTCCTTTGGGATGAAACTCATTGTTTTCTGGAAAATGTTGCAACAAGAACTTGTTGTTCAAAATCTCTCAATTAACCAATATTATACTTGACAAATTAAAGAAATAAATGAATTCTTCTGGCAAATACCATTAAAAGTGACTCGTTTTCTCATGTCCTTGCCATGGTCTAAGAGTGGTTAATTCTTTTGCATGATTGTGCATGTGCCGAGTGCGCGGGAAACTTTTGGCTTCTGTACGAAACTCATCTCACAGTAGTTATAGCTTCAATTATTCTTTTTTCAAGAAGCCGACTTTCTTCTTAGCACAAATCCCAAGTGTGTCTTGGAATTATTTCCAAAATATTGTACAGATGATTCTGACTTTTGCAAACGTTGCGGTTCCTTTTCAGAAATTTACCTACGATGGAGTAGTGCCAATTTCCCTACATTTCTAAGAAACATGCATGATTTTCAGTTAAAATTTTTTCTATTTTGGCTGCTGCAAGACAGTATCTAAGATTCTCCAAAGTGTGTAATGTTCATACAAATCTGACTCCGAAATGCACTAAACAAGGAAATAAAAGCACGCAAGCCATCGAAAAAAGAAGGTTCAACGAACTTTAAATACATGAAAAGTAGTTGTTGCACTTTCATATGACTCATGAATGAGACGTGAGATAGAAGCAACTGGGATGTGAGTAGAAAGAAACTTGAGTAACAACATATAAGTCATACTAGAGTATTCTTCAACCCACCCATTTTCAAAGAGAAAATTTTTATTTGGTGGATCGGGAAAGTTGAGGTATGAATACCACCAGAGAGGAAAATAAAAATTGTGTCATATCTGAGGAATTGCATCACGCAAGATCTGTCTAGCAAATAGCAGACCGTATTGAAAAGGTATGGACTAGTTTCCATAAATAGATAACGGCAGAAAAAATATATTGAAATGTGTGGCTCCTTCACATGCATTCAATTGTACCTGTAGTGCTGTCACAGCAAAAATGCCAGAATCCTGAGTTAGCTTCCTCTCAATGTCAAATCACTAAGTGGCAAATGTTTTGCTTTCATTTCTCTATCTCTTTTGGGATTAAACTCATTGTTTCTGCAAACTGTTTCCAACAAGAAGAACTACCCAAAGGGTTAGTAGCAATAACCATGGACCAGAAATCGTACCTCTCCCTCGCCCCGATAGAGGAGGCTCAGCCCTCGGACGGCGGCAAGGTCCGCCTCCAACCGGGCGATGAGAGACTCCTGGAACGACAGCCGCTCTTCCCTCTCCCTGCCCTCCTCCTCCATCTTCGACAGACGCTCTGCACACATTCGGGAGTCCAAACACAAACTGGAGGTCAAGCATCGACAATGGTTGCCCAACCTTCCATAACCCAATCACGCTCCAATGCATTTTTTTTATGTCATCAACAAAGTGCAATATGAACTGGATTAATCGAGGAATTTCTGGGAATTCTGCACCGTCAAATCTAAACCCGTTCTCGAGCTATTTCTGGGAATTCCCTGTTCGGGCGAATATTGCATATTTCAAGAGATTATACTTTGTTTTGTTTGCATTTCGAGGTCGGAAAAAGGCTCAAACAGATACATGCAATGACATCACAAGAGCCCTCTCCGGAAGAATCCCCTCAACAGGTCCCAGAGCAATCATATTCTTCACAATGTGGCCAATTATCCATCGTGCATTCTGGAGAGCTTCAGTTACGAATATGTCAATGGCAGGTCTCCATTCTTCACTGCCACTGAATATTAATCTCCATTAAACTCTTCATGCTGCAGTTCCTGGAATCTTTACCTAGAGCACGAAGACTACTTCCAGCAGTTACAAGGGGCGATTTCGGATTCTTCTCACCGTCTTTAGGTCAACAAGTACGATTCTACATATCATATGCACGAAACTTATATACATCATACTATACAGTTTCAAGGGAAAAATTCGAATTTGCATTTCACATTTGGGGTTCGTTTTCGTTTCACTGATAAATTTTGTGTTTTTTTTTTAGAATTTCATAATGAGGGGATTCTTCTCATGGCCTTTTCTTCCAGAATGGTGTGTGACCAGTGTGGAATGAAACGACACAGAAGCATCGATCGAAGGTAAACTTTAATATTATAATAAGAAAAGTCATTCCAAAAAAAAAAGAATTGATATGAAATCTCAAAAATATATTTACACAGAAGCGGGACAAATTTATCGAAGAGGCAGACAGGATGAGGGAAGAAAGCGCAACGACGAAAAAACCAACATCTCGGGCGAAATGATGGTGGAAGCTGATTTTGTCCTTTGTTGTCGCGGTCGTCCGAATCTGCAACGTCGATTTGGCAACGGTGAAACGAGAGGAAGGGATCGGGACGTTGGCACTCGTGCGATTCTTCTTTTACTGGCCGTTCCAGGAAAATCCGGGAGAGATCGATTTTGCTCCAATTTTTGCGATTTCTCTCTTTGTGCTGAGTGCGACAGCTGGCCCGTGACGGAGGAACAGAAAGAGTGCATGATTTCTTGCCATTATTTTGTGCGCGGGTGCCGTGGACTAGAGCGACGCGAAAACAGGGTGGGATTGTCCTGCAACTCTGATGCATGCGCTCCGCATGGAAGAAACACGGGAAGGAAAAAAAAAATCACAACTGGAATTTCTTTTTTGTTTTTCTTTTTAAAAGGGATGGGAAAAAAAAAATTGAGAGACGCGAGAAACTCAGAAACCCACGAAAAGTCGAGGAGAAAAATTTTTTGGAAACACTCGAATGACACGAAGGGAAATGACTATGAAACTGAGAATTCTTTCCCAGATATCCATGCGACTGGAGACGACGAAGGTTCAGTCTCGGAGTGAAAAATGACCACAGCCCCATGTGCCAAAAACAGTAAAAGTGATGCGAAAATAAGACAATCGGCTCGAAACGACCCAAGTTCGACTGGAACGGTCTCGAATCGACTCTGAACTCGACGGGAGTCTCATACGAAACTGAAATTAGGTTTTAAAAAAATCAGTCTTAGCGTGACGGAAAATTTTTTGGCAGGAATCTTGACAGGGCCCGAAAAAAAAAAATTTTTGCACAGAACCGCGTCGACGCGAACCAAAAGCACGAGGCTAATACGTCAACCCGAAGGGAAAAAAAAAAAAACGTTCAACCCAAGAAAAAAACTTTGATGAGCTGGAGATCAAGAGACAGAGAGTTTTGATTAAGTCGAGGACAGAGACAGAGAGAAGAGGACGCGGGGATAAGCTCGTATCACAAGTCCGAAGAAGACGCGGGGGTGGAGGAAGTACGGCATATATATGCATTTATGCAAGAATGAATGAATGAATGAATGAATGAATGAATGCACGAATGCCCTTATTCGGAGGGGACGAAGAGACGATGAAGAGAGGGCAGAAACGCGACGAACACCCTTTGGCTCGAGACGATGCTTCGGTTCTCGCGTTTCTCTCTCTCAGTTTTTATCATAGATAGCATCTTTTGTTAGGCGAAAAAAAAAATCAAGCCAGTATTAAATAACAAGAAGGAGGGAAGGAGAAGCTCGTCATCATCATCATCGTAATAATAAGTAAATTTTCTGTTTTTTATCGTATCATGCTTTCTTTGTTTGTGTCACTGGGATTTTTTTCATTTCACTGATCGCTATGGTCCAGTTTTGATTTCCACACGGGGGGAGATCGATGCGCAGACGAGTCCTCCATCTCGTCCTCCTCCTCTTCGTCATCCTCCTCCTCCTCCTCTTCTGGGACCTCGTCGTTGCTATCACTGCCTTCATTGTTAGCGTTCACCGGTTTGGGGCTGGTGCGGGGGGCTCCGTTCTCGGCCTGGTCGGCCCGGATGGCGTCCGTCTGCATCACGCACACCCCGTTGATGATGACGTCCTTGTCCTGGTGCTGCCAGTCGGGGTTCACCCACTGGGGGGCTGCAGGCTTCCGGCGCGAGGACCGGCTCGGTGCCGTCTTGTCCGGTTCTTTCCGGGTCGTCTCCTTCGCCGCGCTGGAGCCGGAGCCGTTCGAGTCCCCGTTGGAGCCGGCGTCGCTGTCTTCGCTCAGTTCCGAGTCGGGGTCGCGTTTCAAGTTCAAGGGGGCTGCGTCGCCCGAGTCGGACGTCGGTGGGACCAGACGCAGATCCAGACCGCCCAATCCCGCGATCAGAGGATTGAAGAACGGGTACGATCCCGGATGAGGGAACGGCGGAGGGATCATCGAGAGCGGAGAAGATCCCGACGCTACCCGTTCCTTATGCAGTTCCAGGAGCCGCTGTTGAAGCAGGAACCGGAACTGCATGGGGTCGAAGGACTGAGGCCCCTCGCGGGGAGCGGAGGGGAGCCCGTTCCCGCCTCGATCGTCGTGCGGTGCCACAACAAAGTTGGCGTACGCTACTAATACCTTGGTCAACCACTACCACGCTCTCCACTCTGGATCGAGAACCCGCTCCTTGAGGTAGCAGCGGTGCGAGCCTATGCCCAGGTCGACCTTTCGCTCCGAAAAGCGCCTCCTTCTTCTCGTCCGAGAAAAAGTACCCGCTGTTTCTTGGCGGGGCTGTTGGGTCTGGGCGTGCCGAACGCGTACACGTCGACCGAGTCGGAGCTCAAGACTGTCACGACACGCCTGTCCCCAAACATCCGACTCCTTTGAAGGACAGGTGCGCTCCGACGCCGCTTGTTCGCCTCCCGCCGCTCGTCTTATACCGTCTGTAGCTTCTCGATGCTGTTCGGGTCCGAGAGACAGAGCTGCATGCGGATAAAGGGTTCTCGTCCCTTGATTCTCGGCATGTGGCAAGACTTGGGTTTCCAGAAAAGTTCGCTAACCGAACCGTGCCTCTGACCCAGATCCGTTTCCCGTTGTAAAGTAGCAGTCCACATGTTTACAGTGACTGCCGACCAGACACAGTCAAAAATTGGATATCACTGCGCTCAACGTTAAAGTACTTCATTTCTTATATCAAAGACTCTCAAACCGTGGTGTGTGCAGAAGAATGAACAGAGACTGCTGCAGGTGAAAGTACTTTTTATTCAAGAAATATTTGTTACAACAAACTTGATACAGGCATATTCAGAACACGTCCCCGGTGTCATCTTTCCGAGTGTGTATGTGTATGTACAGCAGAGAGAGAGAGAGAGAAACCCACCACCAGCCTCATCACTCCAATCCTACATGTCGTCATTAAGTACTTCATTTGAGGAAAGACCGACATTCAATTTCTTTCCACCGTCCAACTCCATTTTCATCCAAATATTCCATAGTGATCAGATTAAATATTCTCATTTTTTCGTACCTGGATATTTTTACACAAATGATTTCTTCAATTCTCTGAATTATTTTGATACGTTCAANAAAAAAAAATCAAGCCAGTATTAAATAACAAGAAGGAGGGAAGGAGAAGCTCGTCATCATCATCATCGTAATAATAAGTAAATTTTCTGTTTTTTATCGTATCATGCTTTCTTTGTTTGTGTCACTGGGATTTTTTTCATTTCACTGATCGCTATGGTCCAGTTTTGATTTCCACACGGGGGGAGATCGATGCGCAGACGAGTCCTCCATCTCGTCCTCCTCCTCTTCGTCATCCTCCTCCTCCTCCTCTTCTGGGACCTCGTCGTTGCTATCACTGCCTTCATTGTTAGCGTTCACCGGTTTGGGGCTGGTGCGGGGGGCTCCGTTCTCGGCCTGGTCGGCCCGGATGGCGTCCGTCTGCATCACGCACACCCCGTTGATGATGACGTCCTTGTCCTGGTGCTGCCAGTCGGGGTTCACCCACTGGGGGGCTGCAGGCTTCCGGCGCGAGGACCGGCTCGGTGCCGTCTTGTCCGGTTCTTTCCGGGTCGTCTCCTTCGCCGCGCTGGAGCCGGAGCCGTTCGAGTCCCCGTTGGAGCCGGCGTCGCTGTCTTCGCTCAGTTCCGAGTCGGGGTCGCGTTTCAAGTTCAAGGGGGCTGCGTCGCCCGAGTCGGACGTCGGTGGGACCAGACGCAGATCCAGACCGCCCAATCCCGCGATCAGAGGATTGAAGAACGGGTACGATCCCGGATGAGGGAACGGCGGAGGGATCATCGAGAGCGGAGAAGATCCCGACGCTACCCGTTCCTTATGCAGTTCCAGGAGCCGCTGTTGAAGCAGGAACCGGAACTGCATGGGGTCGAAGGACTGAGGCCCCTCGCGGGGAGCGGAGGGGAGCCCGTTCCCGCCTCGATCGTCGTGCGGTGCCTGTTGTTTCAACCGCATGCGATGATTATGGAACCAGTTGGTGATGGTGCGAGAGGTGAGACCTAGCTCTTGGGCGAGGAACTCCATCGTCGCCACGCTCGGATACGGGTCCAGCTGGAAAGCGAGGCGAAGCGCCTCCTTTTGCTCGTCCGAGAAAAGTACCCGCTGTTTCTTGGCGGGGCTGGTGGGGCTGGGCGTGCCGAACGCGTACACGTCGGCCGAGTCGGAACTCACGTCGGCTCCCGACGGGGTCGGTGGGTCGGGGACAGGCGCGCTCCGACGCCGCTTGTTTGCCTCCCGCCGCTCGTTTTTCAGCGTCTGTAGCTTCTCGATGTTGTTCGGGTCCGAGAGCCAGAGCTGCATGCGGATGAAGGGTTCTCGTCCCTTGATGCTCAGCATGTGCCAGGGCTTTGGTTTCGATAGCAGTTCGCTCACCGATCCCTGGCTCAAACCCAGCACTGCTTCTCCGAATATCTGGATGGGGAAGAAAATGTTCATTAGTATGTGCCACTCTGCTATTCAGTTCTGATTCCGTATGTACATTTCATTTTCAGAAACATTGTTTGACTTCTAGGGTATGAGATGAAAGGTATGATGACTTTCAACCGCAATAATATAGTTATTCATGGAGCTAGTTTTGCGAAACGTTTTCCAAGCATACATGAACATGTACTGAACCGATCCGCTAAATTCCATCTGAATTCGTCGTACCAAAGCAGTAATATCAGCAATTATCGTATTGGATTCAAAAGTTGAGATTGAGTAAGATCTCACGCTACTGCAGAGAAAGACATCCAGCCGCGCTGCCTTTCCAGGTTATGAAGACCTGCTTGAAACTCTGCATCCATTTTCATTCCTTGTTCTGGTTTTTCGTACTTTGCCGAGGTTTTTCATGCGCTACCTCCAACAGCTCATAACGTTAAGAACATTTTCCGGATTGGTATTCGCTATTGATTCATCTGCTGTTCGTCGGGAATAAAAGCTGATGGAAACCTTCTGCAAGCGATACGCAATCCAAAGGACGAATTCAAGCCGAAGTTCCACTCGATCTTGATGACCAGACTCTGGCGTCCGTCTCCAACTCCGCTGCCCGAAAGCCGCTTTCTCAACGTCTAACTTCCCTTCTATGAATGCTGATTGTGTCGCTTCGGCACAACGTACTCGTAGGTTAATTTCGAGAGTCCATTGGAAACTTACCCATGTATAGACAGCGAAAGTTTCGCATAAATGGCTCCGTTTTCAGCAGAGATATCTACATTGAACGCCGTTGGTCTCTTTGCATACCCTGCATTTTCACTGATCACGCCAATGTGCATATGAGAAGGGAACTATCTTCATTATATTTGCTGTGCTCTCCTCCATTTATTCCTGCAAACCTCTTGTTAAACTCTGAAACCACCCTATTTTTATGACGGATCGCGAAATATAATATTAAATTTTTTAAAATTCATATATTGTTGCTTTCTGAAAGATTACTACACCTTTTGCCCGATATTGTTGGCCAGGAGCGTCTCCTTGATCTTGGTCGTGATCAGCTGCGTGTCCAGGTCCTGCGTGAGGGCCGCCATCTCGTAGACGTTGTGCTGCGGCGGGAGGATCCCCCCCTTGGGGGACAGCCCCCCGCCCCCGCCCCCGCCCCCGGCAGCGTTCTTCTTCAGGGCGTCCAGCGGGTGCGGGGTGGAGACGGGCGCGGCCGGCAGGCCCCGTTGTCCCATGCCGTAGTCGATCGCCTTCGACAGCAGGGATTCCGGGTATCCGGTCTTGGATCCGCTGCGGCTCAGGGCCATGGCTGTGGGACATTCAAGCGATTCATGGTTGATGATGGGCACTGTGAACATCATGCGATAGAACGTTAGAGCCAACTTTCAGAGAATCGATATTAAAAAATGTCACATCCTTTGCTTTGTTCAAATTTCAGTTGCAGAGGCCATTCGATTTGTCTTTACGCAACAAGGAATGCAACCCTCTTGCATCCCATCACCACTCTAAAGCCCACGAAAGTTTAACAAGAAAAAATCAAGTCCACCTGAAGTCACCATAATCAACGAATCAAGGCGGCATCAGAACCAAACGAAAGCCTGGAAGGAACGGCGAACCGACCGTGCGGCGTGTGCGTGTGCGGCGTCCCATACGACGACGACGTCCTCATGAGCTTCTCGGGCGCGATCTTGTACTGCGACGCCACCAGCTTATGCACCGCGTTGTCGTCCTCCAGGAAGATCTTCATGCGGATGAACGGCTCCCGCCCCTTCTGCGTCAGCATGTGCCACGGCTTCGGCCGGGCCAGGAGGTCCGACACGCTGCCCTGCGACAGCCCCAGCACGCTCTCGCCGAACAGCCGCTGGCTGATCGAGTACTGGCTCAGCTGCTCCTTGATCTGTCGGGGATCGCGAGGGGCCGACTGTTAACTCGCGTGAAAAATTGATCCTCTGCAGACGGACACTTGTTGATTTGGGTCGAGTGGTCGAGTCTCGATTGCGAGGTACCTCGGCAAACTCCTTCATATTTCAGATGAATCTATTTTCGCTCTGCGGTATTTTTGCATTTGAAAATTCCCAAATAATTTTTAGTGCTGTTCCCATTCCAAAAGTGAAGGCGCTTCTCGCCTTCGAGACTTCGACCCTTCTGACCGAAGGAACACCTAAAAGCGATCGATCTAGGTATAACCGAAATTCAGGAACCCAGACCCCAAAGCACTCGACGAAAATTCGTGCACACGATAAGAAACGGAAGAAACTCGGAACCGACCGAGGCCCCTGCCCCCCTTAGGACGACCCCACCCATCGCCCTCCCTCGCCTCCCATTAATCTCAATTCGGCAGGTGGAGGGAAGGTGGAGGGAGAGCAGCGGGGGACCCCACCTCCCCTCTCTCTCTCTCTCTCTCTCGCTTCCCTTTGATTAAATATCCCCCACTCACACAACGCACATCATCAGCCCATTAGCCCTGATTAGAGCCGGAGGTCCCCCGATCCATAATTGATGAACGCCGGACTATACGATGCAAAGAGGGCTTCTCCGTCAAAGCCCGGGTGTGTCTGTTCTCGCTCTCGCAAAGCTACTTTTGCACGGCAGAGAGGGAATAGAACCGAACTCATCTCTTCTCGACTTACTCCGAGCAGAAGCAAAGATTAAAGCCAAATCGATTCGTGTCGAGACCAAACGTTCCATCTTCGCGAGACGATTCCCAAATAGTAAAAAAAAAAAAAAAAACCAACCAGAAAACCCATAATACTATGCATGAAGTTTTCCACGCAAAAAATGAGATGCTAATAAATTATCACTACATAACATCATAAAGGACGCTTCTCGCAGCCCCTTCTTCGACTCATCACTGACCAAAAACGCCAAGAAATCCTAAACATTGAAGGAAACCCTTAAATCGAATCCCGAGAAACGAGGCCCTCTGAAACCCACCTTCTTCACGATATCCTCCGTGTTGAGGTTCTGGTACTGGTCGAACTGCTGCTGCGTGATGGGCGGCAGGATGGCCTTCAGCGGCCGCTGCGACGGGAGGCTGATCGCCGACGGCAGGGACGGCTGCGAGATGAGCGCGTTCGTGATGTGCGCCATCCGCTGCAGCGGGGAGGAGCCGGGGAACAGGTGCGACTGGGACGGCGGGGTCAGGCTGCTCGCCATGGAGGTCGAGAGGCTCGTCGCTGTCGTCGCAGAGGTCAGGTGCGGGGGGGAGACGCCTGGAGAGGGTTAGGATGGATTCACTTTTTGGCGCTTTCATTCATTTATTATTTAATTCCAATTTTAATATTTTGATCAGAATAGATATCTTTCTTGCTTTATGGTACATATTGCTGATATATAAATTACATATTCTCTTTGATCATAACGGTTGATTTATACCAAGTACGACGGTTGATTTTCATCCGTCGAGATTAGATTCGACGAGAGAACGACTGCTCGAGATCGACTCGAGATCGACTCGGGACCGACCTGGCTCCGACTTCGGCGTGACGAGGGAGAAGGCCGAAGAGGGCTTCTCGGGCGGCTCGTCCCGGTCGTCGTCGTTCGACTCGTCCGACCCCCCGTTCACGGCGGCCGACTCCCTCTTCACCGACAGGTCCAGGCTCCCCGAGCCGGCCTGGGCGCTCGGGTGGACGCCGGGGTGGGCGCGCGCCTGCGCCTCCGCCAGCTCCCGCGCCTGGGCGTGGGCCGTGGCCGTCAGCTTGCTCAGTTCCTGCTGGTAGATGCTCAGGGCCATCCCGATCTCCTCGGGGCTGCGGTTCATGAACAGACCCTGGCTGAAGCAGGATGCGAGGAGGCTGCAAGGAAAAACGGGATTCCGTCACACTTCGGGATTTTTTATTTTTTAAATGATACATTTATATCATAACGTAAATATTAAAACTTAATTTTAATTCATCTAAATCCCGATTTCTTCAACACTCCCCAGAGACGCACGGAAAACCCACTTGGAATAATGCTCCCGGTGCGCCAGCGAGTTCGCCAGCTCGTCCCCCGAGTCCGCATTGGGCGTGGGCGTGGACCGCACCGCCGCCGCCAGCTGCGCCAGCTGCTCCTGGTAGATCCTCGCCACCGCCTCCTGCGAGATGTCGTCGTTCTCGTACCGGGCCACGCTGCTGCTGCGGCCGAGCATCGCCTTCCTCGCGTCGCTGCGGGGCACGGGCGGCGACTGAGGACGAGAGAGAGAGACACGATCTTCATTCCCGGCCCAATTTATATTTTAAATAAATAATAAATAATAAAAAAAATAACTAGACGATAATCACATTAGGAGGTATTCGAGTACTTCGGGGGGAAGGGGGGGGGGGGGACCTTCAAAATGGAGGCCCCCAGACCACCCATCAGAGCCAAGGTCCTTGGTGCGTTCCCAGCCGTTAAGTCCTCCAGGACTCAGCGGGGTTCCCGCAACCGCATTGTAAATTCTCCACCGCATTCCTCCCCCTCCCATATCCCTACTTTATTTATGCATTTATTTCTTAGAATGGGTGTGAAACACCTCTCCTCCTGCCTACCTCCCGCCTCCCACCTCCCTCCCGCCTCCCACCTCCCTCCCACCTCCCTCCTCCCTCCCACCCCCCTCCCCAATTCCTCAATACATCCTCTACAAGTAAGTTATATTTTCGCATGCGATCAAGAAGGGAGGGGAGGGAGGGGAGTTAATACTGTTTCACTCAACTCACTCATACCTTCGACTGATTCCCTTTACCATTTCTGTTGAAAATTCCCTTGCACTGGATACGACAAAGAAACGCTTGCAAATTACTAGTTGTACCAGTAAACCGTCATGTAAATAAAACATACGTCGGCATATATTATGCAAACGAACCGATAACCTCCCATTAAATATACACGTACCGCAAAATCTCCATATAATTTTCCCAACTACCATCATTCGTTAAAACGCATACAATTAAAAAAAAACCGCCGAGAGCGCACTCACGTGGGCGGCGGACGGGGAGCTCCGGTTGGACGGGGAGGGGTTCCCCCCGTGGGCGGAGGCGGTGGAGGTGGCCGTGGACGCGTTGGACGACTCCTTCATGGCCGCCGTCGCCTGGTTGAGGATCTGGGCGATCCGCTCCTCCGTCATGGACTCCTCGCCCTTCATGGGGCTGCCGCCGCTCCCGCTCCCGCTCCCCTCTTTGGCCGGACCTGGACATCGTGCCGCATTCACTGCTCTACCCTCGACCCGGGATTTTTTTTTTTGGAGACGTCAAACTTTTCTTTTTTTTTTCATTACATCCTTT